GGCGGCGCCCGGCCCGGGAGTCTCCCCGTGGGGACACAGCGGGGGTCGAGGCCGCTCACGTGCAGCGAGAGCTCTTCGGGACCCCCTCCCCGCCCCGCTTCCTAAGCCGCCTCGTGTCCGCGGAGACCTGCGCGCGGTCACCGGAAAGCCTCTCCGCACGCACCTGGCTTGTCAGGCTCCAGTGGTCTCAAAGTTTCACTGGCTTGCACGAAGCCGTGCTCGGTTTTGCAGAGGGGTGCGTGGCTCAGGGAAGGACTAACCAAGTCTGTTCAGTTGTGAGAGAGCTGCAGGAAGAAAAAGAGATATTTGTACCGACAATCGGAGGCCTTAAAAACGTCTTGGAACGGCTGAGCGCGGAGCTTGGTCTTCTCTCCGTTTAACACAGTGCCTTCGTGTGTGCTGGTTTCTTCCCCCTTTTTGAGTTTTTTGTTGAGTCCTCCAAGAGCCTTATTTGGACTCTTGGTCCCCAGCTCTGCATAGTTACTCTGCTCCACCTTAAATGCTTGTGAGGAGAAAGGAGCAAGAAAAGAACTCTAATATTTTTTCCATTGATGTCTTGTTCTAAGTTTCAATAACTCCAGTGCCTGTTATATGTACTGGAACTTATATAACTTTTGTCACAGAAGAACATTTTGCACTGCGCAAAAAGATGTACATGGAGAACTGTCTGTCTTCATACATATTCTTAAGATCTGGAAGTTGAAAAAAATGGTTAGGAATTGGGCATGTCTGGTAATGTCTGTCTAATTGTTAAGGGTGTAATATTACTACGACTCTGTTCATCTTGTGTGTTTTATTAAGTCTCTTTTAAAAATAACATTTAACTAAAACCAAAACCCCTGGGGATAGAAAGAGCTTCTTTGTTCTGTCTTCTCCAGAATGTTACCAGTCTAAGAGCTCAAGACAAGTGCAGCAGAAATACCTGCAACATGGTGACTGGTGAGTCCAGATAGCCCACCTGCTGCAAATGTGTGTGTACATTTTCAGTATCTTGAGTCTCTAGGTTTTATGAATTAACCACATGTGCTCATTAGGTTGGACTACTTTTCGGACCCTATTTAGTGGAAAAAGCAATTAAGCTGAGAAGGCAGGAATTATATCCATGTATCCAAGCAGCAAACTTTGCAGAACAGTGTAAAGAAAGATGCATTCTGCCAAGTTTTAGCAGCAATGAGTATTTGCCTCATTTTTAAATGAGCTGTACATAATGGATAAACTGAGTGCATAAACAGATCCAGTCTGATATTTTAATAGATAATGGTAAAGATGCCTGCCTGCCAATATAAACTTGTGTACATTCTACTAGAAAATGTGTTTTACCGTCGAATGCAATACTAACTTTGCATTCAAAGTATATTGAGTGTGGGCTTGGAAATCTTTAGAGGTTTTTATTTTAAAAAATAAAAATCTATGTTCGTGCTGAGTAGTAAACATGCCTGAGTGAGGTTGTGGACGAGAGGGTGTTGTAGCTCTTACTTTCTGCAATTTGTTTTTAAACTTATGCTCATTACAAAGGAAAAAGAAGACTTTAGAACATGTTTCTGTAACAAGCACTAATACTTCCACTGTTGCTCATATTTTTCCCAAGCAGCAGAATAATGAAACTAGAGCTGATCAGTTTAACGACTGCAGTTCCATATTTCTCTGTAGGTAGCCTTGAGTTGGGTTAGATTAAACAGCAGTTGAGTTAACTATATACATTAAAAAAAATCACTTTCTCATTTAAAAAACTGGGGAGACTCTAAGACTGGGACACTTGCGATTTCAGTCTGCCTCTTCTCCAGTTTCCCAGAACATTGAGAGAGAAAAGCAGACACTCCTCTGCTCTTCAGTGTAGGACCATCCTCATTCTGGTTGTACAGTGCCTAACATCAGCGTCCTGGTCCCTGACTAAAGCTCCTATGCATTACAGAAATCCGTGTATTGGCTCCTATGCTCCAGTGATCAATGCAGTGTAGAAACTTAGAACAGTTGTTTGGGGGACTGGGAGGGAGGGAAAAAGGAAAGTTTCCTTCCAGCAAACTGAGAGAACTAAGAGTGAGCTTCTGATTTCACCTGACTGCTAGTCACAAGCTGACTGAGATCAAGGGACAGTCAGATGGGATCCCAGCACTTGTTCTACTTCCCAGGTGTTGGAACTGGCAGAATGAAGCTTGGTTCTCAAGCCCCTAGACTTCAGTGGGTGGTGGGTGGGTCCTTTATTTTTCTTAACTGCCTGTACCTATTAGATCTAAATGTCTGTGTTGGAGGAGGAGTTGAGGGTGACTTGTTGTTTAAGATCTGCCACTGAGTAGCCAGCTGTGTGTGAAAACAGTTTCCAGGACAAGGACTGAGGTGTCTCTAGCTACTTGTGAGCACTCTTTTGGGGGTGTGTGTGTGTCAGTTTAGGTATCACTCTTGAGACATTCTAGAGGGAGTTTCTCAAAAATGCTGCCCCCTGCCTTCAAAGTCAGGCCCGTTTAATGCATCAGTTCTCTACTTTACAGTCTCCTATTGGATTTCTGTTGCTCGTTCAGTGAGGTTTAATGCTTAATACAGAATTTGTTGAAGGCCAGGTCTACTGCAGCACTGAGAGCGCATTAGCCAGGCCAGGGTTTCTTTTGGTTTCAGCAAGGGATAAACTGCGAAAGATGTTTGGAGTGTATTCTTGGTGGCTAAGTAGTGGCAAATGCAATAATTGACACAAGACCTAGGGGTCACCAAGTGAAATGAATAAGCAGGGAAGTATTTAAAACAAAGGGAAGTATTTCTTCATGCGATGCATAGTCAACCTATGGAACTCCTTGCCAGGGGAAGTAGAAATGATGTCCCTAGCCTCTGTCAGAAGCTGGGGATGGGCAACAGGGGAGTAGGGATCACTTGATGGTTACCTGGTCCGTTCATTCTCTCTGGGGCACCTGGCATTAACCGCGGTCAGAGGACAGGATACTAGGCTAGATGGACCTTTGCTCTGACCAGTATGGCTGTTCTGATCTGTATTAACAGGGCTTGCCGAACCACGGCGAGCCCCGCTCGCCAGCCGCGCTGTCTGGAGATCTGTGCACGAGCAGATCATCTGAACCCGGTTCTTCCGGGTTACAATCTACTCACCACGGGCGAGTAGATTGTATTATTTGTCGAGCCCTATGTATTAACAACCTTTTCTTAAGTGTAAGGTTATACTTTTTTTTGGTGTAAGCACGACAGTATAGTAACGTGTTCACTATAAATGCTTAGATTTTCCCCCTCCTCCTCCCCCCCCCCCATTGCAGAAACTTGTCCTCTTTTTAAGGTCCCATAAGCTCTGTTCTCACATCCTCTGCCTTGGGATTCATACCTCTTTGACTTCAAGCCTGACCCACATGCTGTTAGCAACTTGTAGCTGTGAGCCCCTCCATAAAGTTCCATGGGTGTGGTGCTGCCTGATCACGATGGAGTGGTGTTCAGCCCATCAATGAGAAGTGATTTAGGGCCTGATCTAGCCCCCGTTGCTAGCACCCCGTGGCACTTAGTGTTAACAGGCTATTACTTAAACCACCTTTTGCTTGCACACTGCTTTAAAAATAACATTTTGGGCCACAGTGTTGAACAAACGGAGTCCGTCTCTTGTGACCACTCAGTGCTGAAATGTTGGACAGCTTCTCTCTAGCTGCTGCAGAAGTGGTTCCTTTTCCTCCTTTATTGTTTCTATAGTCCCAGTCACGGTAGTGTGCGTGCATAGTGTTATCTGTATGTGACCATTTCTCTTCCTCAAGGCACAATTAGGCCAGTCACCTAAAATTCTGACCCAGTAATTGTGACTGCAACACCATATTTCCCTGTGGTATTTTGTGACCACATGAGTAATAAGGTTACCACCTAAATGTGTTTACCTCCCCATGAATGATTACTGCTGTAGAAACAAGAATGATTACTGCTGCTGGAATGGTGATAGTGAATGGAAATTCGTTTTGTATTTAAACACAATAGGTCAGTAATTCAAATAGTGCCTGTGAGAATACTTTAGATGTCAGTCTTGTTCCTGAGTGAGTCTTCATTTTGTTTTTCTCTCTGATCTTGCTTCTCTTGTTCTGTTTTCCTCTCTTCACCCTACATGTATGTCCCTCCTATGATAGACCCTGCTTCATGCTATTAATTCCTCTTATTTGTAATGGGAATGCAGCGAGCCTGCTGCTGTTTCAAGACCTTGCTGAACCAGTCCCATTTAATGGAATCGTCATATTCCAGCATTCTGTCCCCCCTCCTTTTACAGAAGCATGACAGTTGTTCTGAGATAATCCCCATGTAAATGTGCAGATACTATCACTTCCTACTTTCCTGTCTCCTCCTTCCTGGTAGTTACTACCTGAGGGTTAATTTGTTGCCTAGTGGATTATGATACTTGGATTCTTCACCTTTGTAGCTATAAACCAATCCCATAAGTAATGGCTCATCTTGCTATTGTCTATAGCATTCCATGTTGGAAATGAACATGTGCCACTCAAGATGGGTTAATGTAGTCTCAGGCCTGACCAGTCCCAGATGGGCAGAGTGCATTACTATAAATCATTAGTGGGAGACAACACTCGGCGTGCTCTTGATACAGGGCAAATACACCTGAAGGCTTACAGTGTGCAGTTGTGACACTTAATAATGGTTTAGTTAAAGAAGTGCTGCCCTCCATAAGATGGCATGTAAAACTATAGCACATGTCTCTGAAGGCTTCTGGGTGTCCAGATCTGTCATGCGGAAACCTTTTGTGTAAGATGCTAGCCATTGGCTTCATAGGTACCTTTGTTCTGTGTAATTATGAAAGTTGTGAAACAAGAGTCTTAACTTTCTCCTTTGTTAAGGAATCCTGAGGACCTTGCAATATGAATAATTCTCTGGAGAACACCATTTCCTTTGAAGAATACATCCGCGTGAAAGCACGAACAATCCCTCAGCACAGGATGAAGGAGTTTCTGGACTCTCTTGCTTCCAAGGGGCCTGAAGCTCTTCAGGAGTTCCAGCAGACAGCCACTACCACCATGGTATATCAGCAAGGTGGCAACTGCATTTACACGGACAGCACAGAGGTGGCCGGATCTTTGCTTGAGCTTGCCTGTCCTGTTACAACTAGCGTCCAGCAGCAAACAGCCACAACAGGTCCAGGTAAATCTCTGAATTGCCATTTCGAATGTATACCTTAATCTGTAAATTAGACCTACGGGTGTCTGGATTGGGATATGCGATTGCCTGGTCCAACTTAAAAGTTAAACACTACAGTCTGTGGCCACCTAACTTTCCATGCATCAGAATGATTTCCCTTTATGTAAGGGGGGTGGTAGATAGACATGACAGGAGACAGTTTCCCAGAGCCCCACTGTTGGAGGAGTTACATACCTAGCAATGAGGTGCTGTAAACGTTGAGGAAACTCTTGGCAATTTTGTGTGTGCATGTGTGTAACTCCCACAAATGCCATTTCATAGGAAATGGCTATAAATGCCCCTTCCCCTCTAATGGCCTGTTAATTCTTCTGCTTGCTGGAATAGTCATGGAAACAACCTCTCATTTTTCTGTTCGTGTCATAAAATCATTCAGATTAGGTGTAGGATACACCTGATAATCTTGGCTTAATTGTTGTCGATTTTGGGCTGTTTTGAAGTCTTGCTGGTCTTGGGTCATACTGTACCTTGCCCAAGCTAGTCAGACCCATCTAAGAAAAGAGGCATTCTCCGTGCCCTGCTATCTTCTCTGTTTCTTATGGGCCTGAAAAGGGGGATATGGCCACTCAGAGCCAGGTTGTGATAGCTGCAAGGACTTTTCTGAAAGCCTGAGGAAGACTGTTTTCATGGGGTATCCAGGGTAGTGAGCCTCAGTCTTGAGCATGAGGAAGCATTGTTATCGCCTGCCACCGTTCAGCTTCCCAGCAAGCCACAGGGTAACAAGCACTCCCCTCCAGACCTGCCCAGGCTCTACTGCCTCTCCATAGCTTAGTGATAGCCCCACCGCCACACACATCCCCCTGAAGCCAACCCCTCGTGCACCAGTTGCTCGCTGAATTCCTGGACCCACTGCTCCTAAAGGAACAATGTA